CTTTTCTTTGCAAGCTCCTTTGACTACTCTATGGTGCAAAATCATAAGAATATTTATGCTGAGAGTTTTACAGATCCACAGAGTCTCTGTTTAGAAGTCAGGAGAATGTGTACATCCTATTTTTGCTTGTTTTTTTTACTTGGTTTTGCTTTGTTTGGCTTTTTTTACACCCAGGTTGTTGCTATTTCACGACAAGACATCAATATATGACGAGTAGGAAGTGACACTGTTGCTATAACTCATGTGCTACTGCCGAAGGACCCCTCATGTGTAGATGTGATACACCAGTGGTTTTGGCACGCTCAATGTTTGTGAGTCAGTGTGCCTTTAGTGTGGTACAGCTGGCTGAGAGCCACAGAGCTTTTTAAACTCACTTAGTGAAACGTTTTTTCCAGTGGGACAGCTGAACTAATTCACTCAAGAACCAGATCAATAAGAGAGTTCTAGGATTTATGGTTTAAGTTCATTAAATTTGAAAATCGGAAAGAAGTGTTTGATTAGACTAAAACGGAACATGAAGCTCTCTCCCTCGTGCTACTCTATAGAATAATAATGTGGTGGGGTGAAATGCATTCAGACATAGTGGGTATCATAGTGTGTATACAGCATGGACTCGTTTGGAGAACTCGTGCAAGGATCTCAGATTCCCACAGGAGATACTTGATCAGACGGATTAGCAGCTTTCTTGGCTGCACTTCTTCAGCTACATTTCACCTAGCTCTGCACCACCATCTGAACACATCAGTCACAGCAGACTGAAGGGCCGGCACAAGATCCTGCCATAGTTTAACCCTGCTGTCATTAGGAAGAGAACTGGTAGATACATGTCACACTGATGCCATCCCAGTGGATACATGTCAGACTTTCCAGGGCGGCGTGTAGAGTGTTTTTCTGTAGCTCTGTTCTAAACACGGCACTGCACAAGTGTTCAAGCTGCCCGTTTAAAGTGTTGATTATCCCGGTTGATACAAGTGCAACAGTACGATGGTGGTCAAAGCAGCAGAAGCCTTGTTTGTATAAGGTGTCCTCAGCTGTTATCATGACTGCCAAAGAAATTAGCTGAAGGCTAACAGCCATGTATCAAAGCCATCGCACAGTCTACACGAACCACGCTCGATTGATTTGCTGTCCATGTAGCATTACGGCCTACAGTTATCTAACTTTACTGAAATCTGACAGTCTGTGGGTGTCTGCACTAATTAAACATCATTGAAAGGTGGTTCAGTTCTTATAGGTTGTCAGGTTTTTCTGTGTGACAGCAGTTTGACTTTGCATTAGATTTGTTATAAAGTAACTGGTTACAGCGGTCCCCAACCTTTTTTGCGCCACGGACCGGTTTGTGCCCGACAATATTTTCACGGACCGGCCTTTAAGGTGTCGCGGATAAATACAACAAAATAAAACTAGT